AAAGGTAATCAACAATTTTTTAAGAAATTTCGTGTTCGCGCGCGTAGTTCACCTTGGATTACGTCTGAGCTAAAGAAACGAATGTATGATCGAGATATTCTTAAAATTAAAACATGTAAATCTAATGATCCCAATGATATTGGACGCAATTTAAAAAACTACGCAATATTGTAAATTCAGAAATTAGCTTAGCCAAGCAAGCCTATTATCAAAACAGCTTTAACCAATATACAGGCGATTCAAGGAAGACCTGGCAGACTATCAATGAACTTACTTCACGTGAATCTGGGAAAACAGCGGTAACATCTCTGAAAGTAAATGGAGTAACAAAAGCCAATCCAACTGAGCTTTCGAACGAATTTAATGATCATATTGCTGCTATCGGTCCAAGACTTAGCCTTAATATTGATTCTCCAGACGGTAATGTTTATCAGATGTACGTCACCAGTACAGACCAATGTTTTCAGCTCCGTCCGACCGCTGTTAACAAAGTTTTTTCACTTTTGAATAAACTAAACAAGTCACGGGCAACTGCTCTTGATAAGATATCTGCTAGGCTCATCCGGAAATGTGCAGATCTCATTTGTATCCCTATTTGTGATATTTTTAACCAATCAATTAGTCTAGGTATATTTCCCGATGATTGGAAATGTGCACGAGTTACCCTTCTTTTCAAACAGGGGGACAGAGAAGACCTTAACAAACTATCGCCCAGTTTCTGTGATCTCAGTTGAGACCAAGGTGTTTGAAACAATTGTCTATGATCAATTACATGCCTATTTAGAAGAACACGACATCGTCCGTAAATATCAGTCGAGCGTTCGTGCTATTCATTCAACTGTGACGGCTCTTCTTGAGGCCACGGATACTTAGGCATATAACATTGACCGTGGCAAAATCAATGCTGTCGTATTCCTAGATTTAAAAAAGGCTTTCGACACAGTGGACCATGAGATCCTTTTATGAAAACTAAGCCTCTCGGTATTAATGGTATTGCGCATCAATGGTTTCAGTCATATTTATAGGTCCACACACAAATGTGTTCCATCAATGGTCTCCTCTCTAGCAGTTACTCTTTGAGTTGTGGTGTTCCTTAGGGTACTATTTTAGGTCCATTATTGTTTCTATCATATATTAACGACCTTCCCAGCTGCCTGTAAAATTGCGAGCCTCGGGTGTGCGCTGATGATACCCATCTTACATACGCGGGCAACAACATTCACAATATTCAGATGTGTTTAAAACGAAGACTTAGAAAATGTTCACAATTGGCTAAGAGCAAACAGACTCACTCTAAATATGACTAAAACCGAGTTCATGTTAATTGGATCTAGGCAGAGGCTGAGTACTGTAACAGTTTCACCAACACTTAGGATTAATGATTTTCGAGTTACCCAAGTCGCTACCATGCTAAATCTCTTGGAGTGACCATCGATCATAATCTCGATTGGGATAGCCATATGGAGAAGATAATAAAGAAAGTATCTTCTCCTTACAACTAATTTACCAAACTCTTATTCACCCTCACTTCAATTATTGCAATACTGTTTGGAGAAACTGTGAGATAACCTTAAGGAACAAACTTCAAAAACTACAAAATAGACCGGCCCGTGTTTTGACTTTTTCAGACTACCATGAAGAAGCTGGTTACCTGTTTGAACTCCTATAATGGAAAAATCTAGCGCGCCAGCATAAAATTGAAAAAGCCACGATGGTTTATAAGTTTTTACACGGGTTGGCTCCAGAATATTTATTTTCTAGGTTTGCAATACGAGAAACGGCTTATAACCTTAGAGACTCTCAGAGCTATAGTGGCGCCATCCTATGGAACAAGCTCCCGTGTAATGTGAGGCAAGCAGAGTCCCTTACGAAATTCAAATGTCTTCTTAAACAAGTACTCTAGGGTACGGCATTCGTTGAAAGCAGCTTTTTTTAAAAATATTTTTATAATGTAGATAGTTTATAATGTTTTCTTATTTGAATTGTAATTTTTTGGCTGATGAATTGACCGTGGATATCTATCTATCTATCTATCTATCTATCTATCTATCTATCTATCTATCTATCTATCTATCTATCTATCTATCTATCTGTCTATCTATCTGTCTATCTATCTATCTATCTATCATCACAAGATGAAACACCTCGAGATTAGTCAAAAATCAGGGGCACCCAACGAGAATATAGTTCAAAACCACTTAAACTAGCGTTGTTGAACGTATTTTAGTATTTAAACGGTACATATAGGCATATTTTTATCTCCTAAAAATTTTTCATCTGTTCGGATCGATTTCCTAGCTGAAAGTCTAATGATCCGAAAATTATAGGGATCAAAACTTACCTTTCCGAAAATTTCAGCCAGGAAAAAAGCTCCCCAAAATTCTAGGTGACCTTTTTAGGGCAAAAATCCGTTAAAAATGGGCAATTACACCTTTTTTGGGGGCTCGAAAATCCTAGGAGAGGCAGGCAAGCAAGAAATTTAACAACAAATGTTCCGAAAATTCTAGATCTCAAATCGTCTTTGGAACAGATATTTTCCAAAAGTCGTTGTTGGGTGCCCCTGAAAAATACTCCGCTACTCTCTTCTAGGTGTTTCATCTGGTGATGAAACACTGCGTCTCATGCTTGATATATTACATGAAAATTATGGAAAGATCATGAATCATGAATGTTGGTTATGGAGGCCTTTAATAGCACTAGACTCTCTAAAAGTTGCTTCTGACAATTTTCGCAGAATGAGATGTTTTGACGGTATCTGCTCTGTTTTCCGAAGGAAGATGGAAAGTGGGTCTGTAAAGACCGGGAACATTGTCGGGAATTTTCCGTGAAATAGATAGGCGTAATCAATTACTGACGAGTGAAATTAGGCAGTGACTTCAAGCGCGTTTTGTCCATAATCTAATAATTTCCCGAGCCTTTAGGAAATTTGAATTTTTCGACAAAATACCTGTTAGAAACCTTCTTAATGTGCTCTCTCCCGCGTTTAGGTGTTCTAGAGCGTCTTTTAATGCCCTGACATTTTCATTAAAAAAAAAAATTTTTTTTTTTTGCTTTGCTTGTTGCCCCCTCAGGGATTTTGCCCAGAAGGCGAAATCCCGAGGAGACACTCTAGTATACAGTCAGTATGGCAGAAAAAATCTCGATTTGCTTAATTGAACAGGGGCCGCGAGGAATCGGTAGGTAATGATGACGTTTCCATTGTTCGCGCCCGCAAGCACGAGATGGTTAGGATGACGTACGACAGAAAATCCCGAAGGGACCTCTTAGGTAGATTTTGTAACATTTATTGTACAGTCGCACTTCGATACTCTTTTGCGTTATGTGTTATCATTGACATTCTGTGGAGAAGTCGTTTTGAAAGTTAGGGACCAAAAGACACTCGTTAAGCGCAGATGAAGTTATAAGGTGCGTATAACTGTGTATATATACTATGAACACTTGGAGAGTTTGCCAGACACGAGTTCACAAATCTTTCATTGGAAACCTTGCCAGGCACTCTTTCTCTCTCTTTGACCGGAATAAGACTCAACCCCAAACATTGACAAGACGTGTGAACAACAGCTAGCTTATCACTAGCAGAACGATGAACTATTACAGAAATTCGCCGACAATCAAATTCTGTGCTGACTTATTCCCTGCTCACAGATGTCCTTCCGCTATAAAGTTTAAAATAAGACTAGAATGCGCGAGCGTGAATTGATCAAACGTCCTTTTACTTTCTAAGGCTTACTTTCCGGCAACTAAAATGAACTGTATGTACAAAGTGAAAGTGATGATAGCGAGATAGCGATTTTTATCGATATACCGATTTTTATCGATAGAATACTCCGGGTATATAACCACCGATGAAATGCCGGTCAGGAGAGCTTTCGCGCGAAAACAAGTTAAAAGATTGCCCTGGCTATGGCTACATGATAAATTACCGAATAGGCGCCTTTCCAGAAAAAGAATATTGGGCTGAAATGGTTTGCTATTTCACTGGTGTCTACATGACAAATAAAACATTATATGACCGCTTGCAGATACAAAATTTCTATTCTTGTATTCACACGTGACACTCAAAGATAAATTTCGTATGTTCGCACGTCCATGTAATATCCTCTATATGTATATATTCACTGTGCCCAACAGGCAAACATTCATGGCTAATATAAGCCTCCAAAGAAGATTGCGTTTCAAACCGAAATATCAGGAAAAAGATTTTCAAGAATTTTTTTTTGTTTTATCTTCTTTCTGCTGTGAAGATCAGTTTTCATAGGGTTCGTTTCGTGAATTTTGTCTTTTTAACCCATCCACATTTTTTTTAAAGCACTGATTAGTATTCATTAGTTCTTGTAGTCATGATGGTTTTGCTGTTCTCTTTTATAATGATCTTTTGCACAGAGAATACAAATCCAAGATTGATATTTGTATTCTACAGATGAATAATCACAGCTGTCAATGCAATCACCGAATCATAATGTGTTTAAATAGTTTTAAAGAACAAGTGAGGAATTTAATTAACTGGCTCGGCGGCTCGGTGGCTAACTTAGCTTGTCAGTCGAGGTAAGAGTCTTCCAGAACGAGAAAGCTAGATGTTTAGTGGCTTAGCAGCACAATATCTCTTTAGTAGCGACTTGAGACCGGCCAAGCCACAATTCTGGCGTTTTATTCAAAAAGGAGTTCTGTGTTAGTTTGTACTCTGTTGTTTTGCCTATGTTTTTTTAACCTTGCCTCTGTATTTCATGTTAGGTTACACCATTTAATTTTAACTTCAAGACTTGTAACGGCTGGATGCGGGAATTTTAGAAGAGGGAAACACACCATAACAACAAATGTATCATTAGTTTCAGGGCGAGGCAAGAAAGCATCTGACCTTATTGAAACCTCAATGAACGTGAATTATATGGATTTTGCTATCGCGTAAAATGTGCCCCAGGGATTCACCTAGGTGGTTGACATACTTTATTTTTGCATCAGTCACTTTAAGTGCACTATTGATATACTGTTTTTGTTATAAGCTACTGCTAGTGTTATACACGGCTGACTCCACGTTGACCAAGGACCCTATGGTGAGCAGTTGGCATAGTTGGAAAAACGACCGTTTAGGAGACAACAATAGCAACCTATCAGATCACAGGACAAATAGCTCTGCTATAAGCATAGACATTGAGCACTCTTCTCAAGAAGGCATTAAAAATCAAAACACCATCGGATGGAACTTGAAACAGACTTTGAAACTCAATGAGACTATAAAAGCAATTTCAACTTCGTCGCTTAAGCGTACGAGAACTTACACGCACGTTGCGATTGATTCATCAATACAGGGCAAATTAAACTCATCAGTTTATGGTGAATTAGGCTGCCCTGATAATCCTTGGAAGAAGGATTTTTATGAACTTTTTCGACACTGGATCCAGATTTCTAAACAATACAATATAAAGTATGTCTTGGCGTGTGGTAGTCTCCTAGGAGCGATGCGAGATGGTGACGTCATTCCCTACGATTCAGACATCGATGTCCTCGTCGAACACAGTTATTTTTCGATCCTTGAAAGGCTATCAGTAAAGAGAGATTTTAATCCTTCAGATGGAAAAATCCGGCTGGTAGTGCAGCCAGAATTTGCCTTAAACATATCGATAGATAAGAGGAGGATGTTTAACTGCGAGGGAAAGGTTGGTATCCCAGTGGAGGGGAGGCGGGGTTACTCAACAAATTTTGTACGGGCCCGAAGTCCAACCCCTTACCGAAAAAGGTACCCCTTTTGTATACCTTCTACTGACAAATGGTACCCCTTTCACATACCTTGTTTAGAACTTTGGCATCCCTTTTATCTACCGGTAAATGAATCGTCATTTAAATAGGAAACAATCACAAAAACGTTTTCCCGACTTTATGAAGCCATAGAATTCATCTGGTAGCCCTTTGGGACCCAAATGACAGAATTCCATACCCTGTCATATACTCCAACGACTAAAATCCCTTACCCTTTTCGAGCGGAGCTTCCCCAAATAGGCCATTATGGGAAGTACCCCAACCTCGTCCATAGGGCGCTTTTCCCAGGGAAAAGCGCCCTGGGGACGAGGTTGGGAGTACCCCCCGGGGAGGTTGGTATATCTCTTATAGCATTTACTACTCTTATCTTCCCTACTAGAGTTTTAATCAGATAAATTTTGATTTAGCGCGGGATTCCCATACAACTTCGCGCGATACGAGTGACATGAAACAAAGGCGAGAGAGTGAAAGAGTCATACCTATAAATGATGTAATAGTCCCCGGGGAGTTTATTTAAGATTAGATGTTTAAGATTGGGCGTTTAAAAGATTGGAGGCGTTTGAAAGAGAGAGGTGTTTATTCTCATAGCTGTAACAAACTCAACAAAACTAATATGCTTTCGGCACAAATATCCAAATAGCAGAATATCCAGTCTAGCCCGTCTAGAGATCCATATGGCACTTTCACTGAAGCCTCTTAGAGGTATCATTTTATGTCAGTATCCTCTTTGAACTTCACAATGAACATGATGCAATGCACAAAACTTTGTTAATCAAGCAAACAACTGAACAACTTGAATGATTTCTATTCTTTTTGTTATTTCCTAGTATTTTGGAGTAATTGTCATTGGAGAGTGGGCGTCTATTAGGTCATTTACAGTAGAATCGCATAATTAAGTAAAATCTCGCATTCTGATTGGTTAACGAACCGAGGTATTTAGTGTGGAATTGCGAGTTGAAAACGAGGCTAAGCGATATTGTTTCGCATCTACGTAACAACTATCGTCAAATTCTAACACAACAACATGCAAAAAAGGTTTTCTACAATGTCATTTTAAAATGTTTTCAAAACCATTCATTGTCACTTTTTGAAGAGTTAAAAACAAACAAAAGCGTTTTTTAAAGTGAGCCGGAGGTTCTTCCTTGTTTTGAACTGAACTACAGATTCTCGAAGAGACATAAAACCTCTTTCACTCGCGACAACCAGAAAACAAGAAAATCCTGTGAACACGGCCCAGAAAATGGCAATCCAAAGTTCAACCAAACAAAACGGAGAAGCGACAACGGAGGAAGTGCCGGGGTTGATTGTCCCATATACAGAAGAAGAAATAAATACCTTCAAAGAGGACATGGCCCCTGAAAACACGAAAAAGAGTACGCCGCTTGCAATCGTCCTGAATCGTGGTATTTAGAAAAGTACAAAACAGAGCTGAACTTGAACAGCATTTCTAAAACATTTCAAGGTACTTACCTTATGTCAATCGCGACGTTAAACATGTTAAACTTTCAGTGCTTTCGCCTGGACCCTTGATTTCTTTCAGTTTTGCCGCCGAAGAGGTAAAAGGTGTAAATTATTTTCCTTCTCGAGCAAATGACCAATTTGAAAAAAGACGTTCTACATAAACGGCTTCTAAATTCAGTAAAATACCTCTATTTATCCTTACGATTAGTGTGAAGCTTGTTTACAAGTAAAAAAGTTTGAAAACAAATGTGAAAACAAGCATAAGGTAGAAAAAAAGTTGTCGAAGGTTCAAACGTGTATGACTGACCTTGCTTCCTATTCGCTAACGCAATGACAGTTCTGACAGTTGACTTTGAAATGGCTTTCTGGAGCGCGCGCTCAGGATAAAAACAAACAATATTATTGCTGTCTTCTTTTTTTTTCTTCTGATTTTTATTCAATTATGCGATTCAAGGAAAATTCATTACCTGACTCGAGAATTCCACGTTAAATTGCACTTGAAAACCGATATCGCACTCATCGCTTCGCGATTCCTGGGATATCGGTTTTCGCGTGCAATTTAACGTGGAATTCCCTCGTCAGGTAATGAATTTCTCTATAATATTTTGTTTTCGCGTGCAGTCACGTGTACAATTTCCGGATTTACTTAATAAACACCATTCAAAGAAAACAAGCTCTCGCTTTTAAACAGTATTAGAACAACAGATCCGCGTACGACTGGCACAAAAGTGGTCGCGGATGCTTGCTGGAGCAGCCGCTTTGAAGAGAGCTTTAAATTCCACCAGGCATGCTATAGTTTGAACTTGGTTTCACACTGTCGTAATAAAAAAGAACTGGATGGTTGCTCACTAGAGTTTTTCAGTACAGTGTTTTGTCAGAGTTAAAACTGGGTTACACAGCGCTGGTCGCCTGCTGGAGCTGGTCCCTTCAAGAGTAGTCGCAAAAGAGCGTTTTGGATGTATTATAGCAGCCAAATCCGAAAGGAGGCATTTAAACTATTACTACTACCAGTACTAAGGAGACTAGGCAAACAATACACAGAGTAGAAAAGAAACCAGATAGAGATAACGGAATGATCACGATCATCATCATCATTGATTTCTATTTCATTATTATTATTATTATTATTATTATCATTATTATTGCTAGAACGGACGTATATCGGAACACCTCGCTCGGGTAGTTGTAAAGGGCTAGCAGTATGAATAAACGGAAACAGACCAATGGGTTAAAAAAATTAGGTAAAAAAAAAAACAACAACAAACGACCAAAAGAGGGGGTTAGCTTTGACCGCCGTAAAACTTAGACGTGCTCCTAATCTTCTCGCAAATCCGCCGCCAAATGACTACCACAGCTCTCGCCCGCTTATCCCGCCAGCCATGCAGCCAGGCTGTAACCATGGTCAGTTACCACGACAACTCATAGGTCTGTATGTAGTTAATCCAGGATTAGGACTAACCAAACTTCAAAAAACTCGGCCCAGCATATTGTCTTTCCTGAAACATCGAATAAGCCGTTATTTAGTATGGCCGTTGGAATAGGGCGCCAACTTTTTAATGGAAAAGGATGGTGCTTCTAGACCTATTTACAAGCATTGCCCTTTGACCTATAATACTACCAACTGTATTGCATTCTCCCCCCGCCACCCACACTGTCCGTCCTTTTTATAAATTCATTATTACAGTGCTATTAATAAACTTAAAAAATCAGCTTTAATTCACACTAAAACTGGCATTGCGCTTCTTTACTTCAGGAAACCATTGAAAAGGAGGACAGATGTGTTTTTGAAGAACCCATGGCGAGACTAATTAAAGGCAAACAGTTCCTTGACGTTTTTCCCTTCTACAACAGAGCTGATGTAGTTGAAGCTCCTTCCCAAAAGAGGCTTAAGAAGTACCATAAGAATGATTTCTATCCATTTCGACCGTGTAGCTTTATGGGATTGCAGGCATCATGTCCAAATAATTCTTGGGAAGTGCTACGAATATATTTTGGCAGTGACAACTTGGAACCTATCTACAAGTGCAAGAATGGTTCTTGGGAAAAAACAGGGGTCGGAATGATCACGATAATCATCATCATTACTATAGGAGCTCTTGGGCTCCTGATTTTATATTATTATTTTTATTATTAGTAGTATTATTTTGAAAACAACAGCACTAATAAAACTGGACAAAATTTGAAAATAAAATAGACTACTGGACGCCGAGAATAGCCTGCAATTAGAACTGGACCACGTATGATTCAGGAAGTACGTAATTTAACATGAAAATTCTAGTCCGGTCTCAAACTACTGAAATTTCTAAGTAGACGACAGCGACTAGCATTCAAACACTTGGTGGAAGTAAACTGGAAGCCAGCCCCCTGGCTTTAAGAAGAAATAGATGATATCTGGTATTGATGAGAATTGGTTTGCTTAACGTTTAGAAAGGGTATAGTAGCCACAGCGTATAGGTCTAGGATTCACCCTATTCGACCTTTGAATTTATTGTCCAAAAGAAATGGGTGTGAAAGTGGATGTCTGCAGGCTAATTTGCCGTGGCATTTGCTTAATTTCTGATTGGCCAGGGTGAGAGTTGTATTTGTATCGGGTGAGGATACAGCTAGGTATCAGATTAATGAGTGGATGACATGGCTGGAGTAGTGCTTTAGTGAAAACAAACAATAAATGCTGTTTTTTGGGGGGAGAAAAGATATTTATTGTTATCCAACAACAACAGTGAGACTTTTTGCATTTGTTTCTGTACATAATCATCTTGACGACTATATATTGTTTGTAACGGTAAGGTGCAAACATATCCACTGGCCAGGAGCTCCTGCACTGGCTGAAATCAGTAGATGAAATCAGTAGATATTCCCGGCAAGTAGCAATGTTATTAAGCTCTTCATGAAAATTATGGAAAGATCACGAATCATGAATGTTGATTATGGAGGCTTTTTTTAATTAGCACTGACTCTTAAAAGTTGGTTCTGGCAATTTTTGCAGAATGAGAAGTTTTAATTGTCAGTATCTGCTGTTTTCGGTGGGAAGATGGAAAGTGGCTCCGTAAAACCGGCAGCATCGCCGGGAGTTTTTCGTGAAATAAGTATGTGTAAACAAGTGGTGACGAGTTAAATTAGGGAATAATTTCACGCGCGTTTTGTCCATATTCTAATAATTTCCCAAGCCTTTAGAAATTTTGAATTGTTCGACAAAATACCTGTTAGAATCCTTCTTGATGTACTCTTTCGCTTGGTTAGGTTTTCTAAAGCGTCTTTTAATGCCCTTACATTTTCATTCCAAAAAAAAAAAAACCTTGACGCCATCTTGGGACTGAGACGCATGGCTTCCAACTTTTAAGAGAAAAGCCCTTGTAACGAGGTTGTAGGGCTTCGACACGCGTTCCTTTCCCACGAACCTCTGCTGAAAGGAACGGTTAAATTCTTTTCTCCTTGTTCGCTAATATCAGCTGGAGGACGAGTACAAATTACAGGATAACCACCGATGAAATGCCAGAGACCTTTCGAACGAAAACAGGACGTCTTCACGAGTGAAAAGATAACCGTTGCTATGGCTACCTGATAAATTACCGAATTACGCCTCTCCAGAAACAAAAAAGAAATGGTTTGTTATAATAATAATAATAATAATAATAATAATAATAATAATAATAATAATAATAATAATAACAATAACAATGCCTTTATTTAACCAGGGTAACACTAAATAGCCCAAGGCTAACAAACTTGTGGCCCTCAAAACACAATCTTACAAATATAAAGATTATAGAATAGGTGTTCAAAAAAAAAGACTACTGTTTACAATTAAAAATATATTTTAAAATACAACCTAGATATTATTATTTTACCGGTGTCTACTTAACAAATAAAACATTACATGACCTCTTGGAGATACGAAATTTCTCTTTTTGTGTTCAAAAACCTTCATTTCGTATCTCTGCGCGGCCATGTAATATCCTCTATATGTATATATATTTATTGTGCCGGATAGGCAAACATTCATGACTAAGTGCTCTTTTACAGATCTGGAATTGTGCCATGATATATGGACTATGCAGGTCTACGTTTTTAACCGCTCTTTTTAGCAGACCTTTCGTCGGGAAGGATTGTGTGAGGCTCCAATTCAAAGGAGATTGCGTTTCAAAACGGAATATTATTTCCTGGCACATGCATCACAATGTATTTCTTCAGACATTTAACAGCGCTTAGCTGGGCGATCTGAAAAGAGCTAAGACAACTAGATTTATTTAAGAACTGAATGGCGTATCCCGTTTGTTCTTTTCAAGCAAATAGCGTGTAAAACCTTTCATTCAAAAATAGAATTTGATTATACTGACCGTGCATGTGTATATTTTTCATCGATTGTTTGCACATGTCGTACTTTAGGAGCAATTAAGGAAAAAAAGATCATAGTATGATATTTCTCTTTTTTCACTGACATCCTTTTTTTTTATCAAAGACTAACTTTTAGTCATTCATTTCCTCAAGATAAAGCTTTGCAAATTTATAGCTACGAAACTGATCAATTCATTACTAATGGTTGGGTTCAAAGGACCTGTCTAGTACAGCGAATCCTTGTTTTAAACATTTTTGCGTCGTTAACATATGCCTGTTATTATCTAATGAATTGGAAAAAAAAATCTCTGAATTAATATTGAAGGATCACAAAAATTTCATTTCTCTCTGAAAATTTGACATCTCTGAATATTGAAGGACCACAAAAGTGTCCGCTTATCTCTGAAAATTTGAGCGCGATATACCAAATGGTTTCGGAGAAATTCTCTTTAAAAAATCGCAAATTTTACATTGAGAATGTATAGCTCATTAACGTTTTTGCCCCAGCAATTTTGCTGGGGATCAATCTGGGAGTCTTAGACCCTATTTGACTCCTGAAGGTAGCCTACCAGCAAGCTCTCACGGGGGTACGACGGGAGTGGGGGAGGAAAGAAAAGAAGAAGAGCTAACACTTGTCTGTCATTTTTATTTTAGCATCTACGTCACAAAATGGGCCAAAATGGGATGCCCAATGCTGACTGGCTGATTTTAAATGAGGCCATGATGTAATGTTCTTTTGCGAGTACTTTGATAAATGGCGGACGGTGAAGATCACGTCCGTAAAGCTTGCGAGAATTTTTTGTTAAATCTCCATCTATTTTTGCCTGCTCGCAGGCTACCCTAAAGGAGGCCTTACTCTTGGCAACACAGTATGAACTAAGGCATTTGTTTTGTATATAGATATTCCTTTAGCACAACGTAACCTTAAACGATATACCTGTTATGTATGAGTAATGATATTGGCTTTCTGCCCTGGGCACCACAAGTAAGACCAAATTCTGCAATTACAAATAACGTCTCTAAACAACACGACGAGCGTCCCTGACATGTTCACTTTGCTAACGTCGCGTGTTAAAGCAAATAAGATAAATTTCCCGAGATTAATTTCTATTACGCGTGACCAAAGAATCCTAGACTAACGATCATTCGCAGCCTTAAGGTGGCTCCGTAATTAATACAAGAGCATTTAGCTGTGACAAATTTTCCGTCATAACTTTTTGGTTTTTAACGCGATGGCTGCGAAACTTTGCAAAGAACAACAGATATCATTAGGCAATGATTCGAAATATTCCGAGTTCACTGATGGTAAATATTTCTCGAGAAATTAGCGCTTAAAAGGACCCTACTGTTCAAAGAAAATCGCGTCTAGTAAAAAATTTTGCTGATATTTTTTACTGAAATTTCTGGTATCGGCTTTAATTGATATAATAAATATGCCAGAGGAATTTCAGAAAAATCGTTGGAGCAGAAGTCCGAAACTAAAAGTCGCTCAAAATTCAGCTGTGAAATTGTTTTGGAATTTCAAAAATAAATTACCATCAGCGAGAAGGAGCCACCAGTTTGAATTTTCGGGACAAGTAAATTCAGTGTTTGCTAATTCTGAAAACAGAAGCCGATTGCCTATCGTGCTATACTTTAAAAGGTACTGTTCAGTTTTAGAAGCACTATAAATTGCTCCAAACCTTGCTCTGAGGTAGAATTACTTGTTCTTATTCGACATTTTTAAAATATCCCATGGCAGTTTTGGTTCAAACTCCTGCTGCAATTTATAGTGCTTCTAAAACTGAACAGTACCTTTTAAAGAATAGCACGATAGGCAATCGGCTTCTGTTTTCAGAATTAGCAAACACTGAATTTACTTGTCCCGAAAATTCAAACTGGTGGCTCCTTCTCGCTGATGGTAATTTATTTTTGAAATTCCAAAACAATTTCACAGCTGAATTTTGAGCGACTTTTAGTTTCGGACTTCTGCTCCAACGATTTTTCTGAAATTCCTCTGGCATATTTATTATATCAATTAAAGCCGATACCAGAAATTTCAGTAAAAAATATCAGCAAAATTTTTTACTAGACGCGATTTTCTTTGAACAGTAGGGTCCTTTTAAGCGCTAATTTCTCAAGAAATATTTACCATCAATGAAATCGGAATATTTCGTGTTATTGCCGAATGATATCTGTTGTTCTTTGCAAAGTTTCGCAGCCATCGCGTTAATAACCAAAAAGTTATGACGGAAAATTTGTCACAGCTAAATGCTCTTGTATTAATTACGGAGCCACCTTAAGACTCGACACCCTGGTGACGAAAGTAATCTTGTATCATTAATTGCTAATAAAACCCTATAAAAGTTTACAATAAACGGGCCAATTGTTTATCTTGAAGTACCGTGATAATGTTTAATACTCAAGCGAGCGTTCGCCCGAAAGAGTACGACATTATTCCCGAAAATAGATCATTGAGGAAAGATTTATGAAATAAGAGTACCAAATGGAGGAGAAAGAAAATAATGTAAAACAAATTAAGGAAAATAGACGTCATTTTCAAACAAACTATCTGACCTCTGTTTACTAAACACTGACAGTACTTTCTACCTTAATTACTTATCTTTTCACTAAGAGCTTAGCTTAAAAGTGAATACTTGCTCTAATTAAAGTTCTCTTTTGGCTAGCAAATCTTTGGTGCCTTTCCAAGTTTAATTTGAATTGCATAGATATACCAAAGATAACATCAGGCATTTGAAATAATGTTCTCCAATTGCAAAATATGCGATCAGGGAAACAAAACATGAGTGGACATGAATTTTTTCCATGTTGTGTCAGATAAGTTTGGTGAAATCTGATGAAACCTCGAAATAAAATATATTGCGAAATCGCGATTTCTTAAAAGCACCTGTTAAGGCGCACTGGTTACACATCTCTTCGTTAATTGAAATGATCACATTCAAACCTCCACCGTTTCTAGAGTCAAGAAATACTTCGATTCCTTGAAACTAAACTAATTGCACTTCTTTAAATTCCTGGATTTATTTTCCCTAAATTCTTGATGAAAAATCTACTCATGAACACATTCTTTGATATTTTTCGGTACTTAAGGCAGTTCTCACAAAGCTGTAATTGTAAGAGTATCTTAATGTGGTTTTTATTGCTAGGCTTTTACATTTAGTGATTAAAGCTTAAGAGTTAACCAGACCTCTTAGTGAATGGTTTTCTCTGTTGATGTCCAGATTTTAAAGCTAAAAAAAATTAATTTTCTCGGGCAACTGAATTGGGTGAAGACGGTATAGTAACTATATCTTAACTCAAATATACAACATGATTTTAGCGATTAAAACGTCTTAAGCGAGGCCTTAAAAATAACAATGAAAACGTATAATAGCAAATGTCGATATCATATTTTACAATTTTATAAGGATAACTAACAGGAAACGGTGCTCAAACTGGCAATTATGACTCGATTGCTCTTCTTATATTTAAACAAAAAAATATTAACTTGCATTTAAGGCATCATGTTATGATATATAGAAAACGAATATTTCGATTGGTTAAGTAATCCCCTGCGCTTTTTTAGATTATTCGTTTGATAGCCACATCAAATTTCGGAAATGTGATGATAAAAATCTCTTTAAGGAAATTAAACTTTTTCATCCTTCCTTCCACAGATTTCATATAAAGTAAAGTTCTGTCTTGATTTCACTTCCACAGCAGAATCCCTCTATATCCCATTGAGTGCTTGTCCTTGGTGAAATTTTAAGGTAATTCACCTGCCTTTCTCAATCGTATTTCCTACATTTAGAGCATGTGCATCATGACTAACTGATCTAATTCATATGATCCATTAACGATGTACGTCAGTTTTAGAAATTTTTTATTATTTACTAAACTTAGTCTTAAACCTCGTTGTTGAAACTGAGACCTCTTTTATGTTCTTCAACAACATGATTTTCAAATTTAATACTGACATCAGGATTGGAACCTATTTAAAGACTTTTCCACAAGAATGTTCCTTTTGATATTATTGCAATTGCCCACTTTCATCATACCGCATAGTCATGTGGGATCTCTGTTTCAATTAAAATATACTTAAACCATTTATGTCGCGCAGGCCCAAGTTGTTCAAACGTTGGATAGTTCTATTCACAGGTTAAATCTCTATCCAGGGGACATGACTTGGGGGTACCCAAAGAAATTTTATACAGGGATGCTCCGCCCCGGGGTGCAACCGCTAATCCTTTTATACCATTTTTGATAGAAAAAGTACCCCTTTCGAGTACCACATGTTTAAGTTATATTGACAAATGATACCCCGTACACATATTACAGTAAAAGGCCCGTAACTCGAACTCCCCCTAACTCGAACTAAGTTCAATTTCGTTGGATTTCACCCCACTTTCCAGTCATTTTTTACTCGGTCAAATCGAACTTGGATAAGTCGAATTCCTCGCTAACTATATTTCCTTGTCTTGATCAAAAAGTCACCAAAATTTACCCCGATAACTCGAATGCTGGTTCTTTTAACTCCACTTGAATGCCATTCCATTAGCTATTCTTGTTGTATAAGGACAAAAACACTAAAACTAACACTGGTCAGCACTAAGGCAATTTGATTTTAATTGGTGAAACGAATAGATCACGTTTTATCATAAAAAAAATCCCTATTCATGTTTCTGATGATTTAAGTTAAATTTGCACTGCACCATGATACACTAAAGAGCTTAAAAATCAGTAAGACTAACTATCAGTTTTTAACAGGGAAAATTGAATAAAGCAATCGACTCCGATAACTCCAACCCGAGCTGTCCGAGCTAACTTGAACTCTTTTTCGTTTCCCTTCGCTTTCAGAGTTCGAGTTACTGCGGTTCTACTGTAGATTAGAACTCTGTACCCCGTTACGTAACTGTTGTAAATGCAGTCTTTTATTATTAAATCACTATAGACCAGAAAGTTTTTCACAGCCATTAAAATGCGTTTGTTAGCCCTCTTGGGTCCTTTCACAGAACAGACTGCAATGACAAATTTCCATGCCCTTCATATACTTCAACTAGTGAAATCCCTAACCCCTTTTTGACGGAGCCTCTACTGCCTTTACTAACCTTTACATTAACACGTGTTGCTTGTTCATCTCGAAAATATGAGCTCAAACCTCTATTTTGCTTAGGTAGTCCGCAACGGGACAGAGAAAAGATGAATTCGATGATTGTAGTGTTCTGGCTCTCACTGCTCAGTAAGTAAATAATTCTCTCGTATAATTCATAACTTATCACGTCGGAAGATCTTCTTATCTATACAATGAATAAAATTTTCTCTTCTAGGTTTTATGGTGAACTATTACGCCTCAGCTTTTAATCTTTGTCGAGGCAGTTGTAGCGTTGACCTGGAAACAAAAGGATGCTACAGGGATATGGAGGTATGTTATCCTATATTCAGGGGCACCAAATGGATCTGTTCCTCAAAATATCTGTTCTTCAGGCACATTTTTGCTGGCTGGGAGATGTGGAAGAAATAATAGTCCTTGGAAGGAAAGTGTTGCTGGGAAAAAGATAATTCAGGGTGTCAGAGGGGATTTGAAGTCTAGAATAGCTGCTACGAGTTACTTGTACGGGTTACTTACCACTCAAGATCGGAATTGTGTCCTATCAAACTTCCCAGTAAGTCAGGTTGCTGGCTGGGAACTCTTCCATCAACCTTGCTGGGAGTGAGGAACAGATAATGTTTTTCCAGCAATCTCCCAAAATGCTTAAAATAGTCTCAGACTGACTTTATTCACGCTTTGTTGTTGTTTTTAGGTCTTTTTCTCAAAATTTCCCGTTGGGTGCCCCTGTATATTAAATATTACTGGTCCGGGATTTCAGCATCAGGCCACTGGCATGAAAACAAGTAAATAAATAATTTGTAAAGTATCTCGGAGGGAATCTTATAGCGGCTAGAAACTAACAGAAATATGTATATATCCTTGAGTTTTTTCGAGAGCTGGTCAACACTGAAGTTAATACATTCTTAATCAGGGACGCGAGGCAGGCCTTCTGGTGGTTTTAACCCACTTTGGGTTTCTCTGAAACTGGATATGGCTTTCGAGGGAACCACCAGAGTGAGGATGTGAAGAATTACGCAGATCTCGGAGGAAGTTATCCACCTTGGCCTACAGTCTTGGTGGATAACATCCTCCAAGATCTCCATAATTCCTCACATCATTTGAATGCCGAATTCAATGGTTGTTCTATTATTCATTCAAAATATCTTCAAGTTCTTGACAAGCTTACCGTTTTTGTTCGATTAATCATCCTTGGTGCTTATTAAATTTTTGGACCTTAAGAGTGGGCGCTTATTAAATTTTCACTATTTTCATTAAGCGTGGAATGTTTATTTTGCAACAAAGCAATAAATGGTAAAAACAAAACGCTAAGACGACGTAACAAAGCAAGGTTTCTGTAAAATACTCTGAAGAAAACTGACTCTTCGGCGAAGTACTGTTATTAGTACTTATTCAATTTTAATTTCAATCTCATTGTCACTCAAGTGGGTAGGGTGGGAGTGGGCGCTTATTTGAGTTTGAGTGGGAGGGGAGGGGGTGGGCCCTTATTCGAGGCTGGGTGCTTATTAACTTTTTCTGCCTTTAGGATGGGCGCTTATTCGAGGAGAACGATAATTTGAGGTTTGGCGCTTATGCGAATAAATACGGTACCTCCTCGTAGATATCAGCTTTCTTCAAAGCTTTGGCGTATTTCTTTTGCACGGTTTCATGATATAAACAGATTCTTCCTTGCAGATATTCCCCAAAAGGTGGATAACATTCATCGAGTGATATGTTTTGGGTATTCTTGCATTTCTTCCGTTCAGTTTTTGTTCGAAATTCAGCTTTTTCACCGTGAACGCCATCTTCTTTTTAAGTTCACTTAAGAATAAACAGCTAGGCGGCCGTGCCTGGAAACAACGTTGATCGATAACATATTGCCTAGACAATACACCATCGATTTAATGGTATATCGCTCCATCTTCCGAATATGGTAAATGCTGGTTGATTATGAAGAATTAGCTGGGGACTCAAGCCCGCTAGAAACGGCGAAATATTTTGAATGAATAATAATCGTATTAGTAGTTTTAACTCCGAATGAATAAGAAAGAAATGGTTCATAACATGTATCGTTCGAATTGAATTTCAACAATTTTTTTAGGTTCTCGATCCAACCAAGGTCTAAAAAGGGGTATAGAAAATAGAGTTTTTTGGCCTGAAATAGGGACAGGATTAGAACAACCGGGGGGGGAGGTCACACCCCCACCACTAATTCCCAGGAACACCCCTGCAAGTATAGTACTAGTGCGGCCTATCACATCTATAAATGCTTAAAAATGTGCAGTTGAATGGACTCCTTTCAACGCTTGCTAGTGTCGATAGTGAGATTTTATAGCGTTGAGCCAGCCTCTTCCTGTATAGTGTTTTGTAATTTCATTCGTGGTGTGGACCAAGGTTTCGTGTGCTACTTCGCTGACGTTAATACGACGCGGCTACTTCTTTTTAATGAAAAGAAAAATTCAGTACAAAGAATTTTCTCTTCCCACGCACCTTTTGCTGACACCAACACGTCGCCCAGAAGACACCAAGTTTCCTCAGGAGCCCATCATGGGCTACTGGTTTCCTCTATGATGTGAGTTGACCGTATGCTATTTTTTTTTTCTTTCTGTAATTCCCAGCCTGGTCGTGTTCTTCCTAATTACATTTACAACGAACGAGATCCTTCCATCAGCAACTTTGGCGACAGAATGATTGACTGGTTCAACTGGAATGAGTACTTTCCGGGATTCATTTGCCGCTGTGCTGAAAAGGCTAAATTGGCTGGGTATGACCTTATTGGTGCGCAATTCTTTGGTAAGAAACAAAATGTTACGAAATGCATACCACAACTGTGTACTATCGCTCACAACCTCCCCCCCCTCCCCTAAAAGGGAAAAAATTTATCCCTTTCCGATTAAAAATTTCTTTTTACATGCAAATACCTAATTGATGACTGGTCACATAGAAACAGTTTTAAAATTTTGTTTTCGGAAGGAACAAGTAGTTTTAATTGGATATATCGCCCTCGTGTACAAATTTATGAATGGAAAATGTCAGTGAGCGGTCAACATTCGCGCTGTTACCCTCTGACGTAGGCTTTGGTAGATTGTGCTAGCATAATTTTAAGCATAATTCAGCAAAACGAGCATTATTTTAAGCTTTTATTTCAGTTTAGCACTGCTAGCATAATCCGAACTTTTATACGTTAAAAACAAAGAAACCCATCATAGCTCTAGAATAATTCAGTTTGTATTTTATTTCTGTATTGTTTTTGGAAAATATTGAGGTCTGTGCTAAGGCCCATGGTCAAATATGGTCCGGCAGGCGGCAGAGGTAACCCTGTGCATATCTTAGAGACTGAAACTCTCCTCAGGCCACCATGCTTATGGCTCGGCGGCTCGGCCCCTCAGGCCTCAGATCAAAGATGGCGTCGTCCTCGAGTACATCCACTTCCACCACTTCCAGTGCCGTACCGAGAGCTTTAAACAAGTATGCGGGCTATAACTTTCTGACCCAGATTCAGAACCCAGAAACGGTTGATTTTGGTATCATTTGTTAATCATTTGGCTTTTCGAGGTGCGCACATGCGTATTTGCGATGCTAAAGACTGTAAGATTGGAAGGGTTAGGGTTAGGTTAGAGTTAAGCTACTGATGATCTTTATTCTCCTTAAAATCAGTGTAAAATCTAAGTAGCATAATTTCGGCGACAGAGAGCATAATTTTCAGAAAGTAGCATAATTTTGGCATAATTTCTAAAAAATATGAGCACTGCTAAAAGCATTATAAGCTTTTCCTTCGAGCACAATCTACCAAAGCCTACTCTAACGTCCAGAGTTGATTTTGAAATGGCTCGCTCAGAAACTTTATTGGCGGAAAACACTTTCATTATTAGAAGTCATCTGACCCAAGCGAAGCCAGTAAGAACGCTTTGGAAAAGATTCCAGCTATGTAAAAAGTGGGTCACATACTGAGTATGTGTGACCAGTATTCATTACTAGCGTAGACTGCAAAACAGTCAGTTTTTTTTTCTCAGAATCAGTAAAGAAATCGGTAAGAGTCTCACGCGCGCGAAGCGCGCGAGCCTCACACGCCCTAGGGACGAGGGAAAAAAACCGACAGTCCGTATTTTTGGCGTCTCTCCCCAGTCTCGCTCTCTGTTTTCAGCCTCGTTCCAGACCTTTTGTTTGACTGCTCGCGCGTACTTGAATACGCAAAAATACGGACTGTTTTGCAGTCTATGACTAGCGTAATTGATCCTACAACAGGTGAGTGCTGGGCAGGAAACAGTGGACAACATGATTATACACAATACGGACTGGATTACGATGGCTGCATTGAAGACGACTATCAACCCTGCTCGGCAAATTCTCGTTACTGTGTCGGAAAGCATTTTTCCAATATGGTCTTCAAAATTGGTATGTTTTACTTTTCAGTTCCGTATGTTTGCAAGTTCGGGGTACTCTCAGGTCTGATAAGTAAAAACCTCTTACAGAAGGCAAAATGTTAGGTTAGGGGAAAGTCAGATATAGACTGCTTGCAATCCGCCTTTACTATTAAAATCTGTCTAATTCCCATCCAAGCTTAACCGAAAGCAAAGCAGTTACAAAAGGATATTGAGAGGGGAGCTCCGGTGTCGCATGGACTTACACCCTCGTTTATCGCGGCTCTCAGTTTCGCCGCTCCCTACTCTTTCACTGAAAAGAACTTGAATAAGAGACTGCTCGCAGTCTAATGGATAGGTGGGCACCTTCCCATGATTTTATCATGCTACGAATTACGTAGGCCGAATATAATCGACCGAGGTAACAGAAAGAGTATGGATGTAAAACGTACCCATGGTTGGTGACAGTGTATGTTTCAACAGCCTGTGCGCAAATCGCGATCGTCGTCAGAATTATTGTTAATTATTATTATTTTATGACTGATGTTTCGCTTTGTTTGCAGTGGATACTAGTTGCCCTGGAATCTCTTTTGAAAAGGTTGGCTGCTACGCAGATTACCACAGAAGCAAC